GAAAGAGCACCCTGCCAGTCCCTGTCTGGGCCACGCTGTCAGGGTAACTCCTGAAGAAATGTTTGCCTCCTCCTTTGAATGGAAGTTAACATCTCTCCCCACTAACTTTGTAAAGAAACACCCCAAATTTTAATTTCTTTCTTAAACAGAGGTCTTTTGTTGGGGGGGGGGCGGTCACACTTTAAACAGTAAAAGAAAGTGTAGTAAAATGATTGGGAAATAAGATTTCTAGATGAATAAAATGAGATATAAGAAAATGGAGAATTTTGATTAGTTTTGGACAAACTTGGAGCCCCATTGTGTTTAGCCCATAGTTAAAGCCCGTGGCATGGTCCTACTGCAGCTGAGAGTGTAATCCTGCCACACCTCTGTGGGCCCTGCTCCTGGTGTCACTCCGCTGTGGTGAAAAGGTCCCCTTTGAACATCGTCAATCTGTGCAGTGGGCAGGGCAGGGACAATTATCTAAATTGCACAGGTGAGGAAGTTCAGCTCACACAGGTTACATGACTTCTCTGAAGTCATCCAAATAGTAAGAGGTCTGTGCCCTCTGACTGACCTGGCTAGAGAACCAAGTAGCTCAGGTGAGCTGTAGAAGTTTAGTGGGAAAACTATTGAATTAATGGGTGAATTTGCTCGGAGTTGGAGGTCACTCAGTTTTATAATATTATCCTTGGATTTTGTTGTCCCAATAAAGCATGGCGGGTTCTGGGAGCCCCCAGTTTTGGGATCTGACAGCCAAGGAGTGTTGAGTAAGAGGTGGAAGTGATCCAGAGCTTGTCACAGTGTGGGCTGAGGGCCAACGAGTGGATGACACATTTTTCTTGGCCTGGTTTGCAGAAGGCGCTGGAGCAGCAGATGGAGAGCCACCGGGAGGCTCACCAGAAGCAGCTGTCCAGGCTTCGAGATGAAATTGAGGAGAAGCAGAAAATCATTGATGAGATTCGGGAGTGAGTTGGCACGGGTGTTCTCGGATGTGGGGGTGGGCGTGGCTCTTCGGCCAGCCTGGATGGTATGGCTTACAGCCGGGGCCTCTGCTCTCCCGGCCCTGTGGGCTCCGCTCTGCCTTGGGGCTGCCGCGGCTGGGCATGCTGCTCCCCAGGTCTGTTCCCTGTCTGGCGCTGAGTCTCAGGGACACTGGTGGGGCAGGTGGCAGGCGAGCCCAGCTGCCCTCCCCAATTCCTGCAGAGCAGGGTTATGTTGGTGACTCAGCTGAGTAGACATGTCCCAGTTGGTGGGGACACTATCTGTGTGATAGTACAAAAAAACAAAAACAAAAACCCTGAATTGATCCTGACTCGAGTTCTAGTAGGTTAATAAATGCTCCAGAGAAGATAGTTGGCTCCGGCTACCTCCTCACACCAGCGCATACATGCTCACGGCACACTCCAAGCCACGTGGTCACACATACACAACTCCTAGGCACTCACACCGTCATGGGTCTGCATTTGGGGACCTGTGGCATTTGCTGGGATGGCGTCATTGTAGCTTGTCTCTAATGACACCTTCTCGGGGCCATTCTCCTGTCCTGTCTCAGCCACTGAAGAGCCCCTGCTCCATAACAGCCTCTTCTTTCTCCTCTTGCCCTCCGGCATCATTGTCACACCAGTCTGCAAGCTGGGAGGTGCCTTCAGGAGCCTCTTCTGAGTGTTCTTAGGTTTTTTGCACAGTGAGCTCCTTGGCAATTTTTGAACCCCTTTACAAAATAATGTTTTTAAATGCCCCCAAAGAAGACATAGTAAAACAAAACCAATTTTATTGAAGTACAGTTCTATTCATTGAGACTCCCCCACTTTGCCCCTGCCCCTCAGGTCTAGGCCATAAGTTCTGTCCCCATCCCCTCCCACTTTCTGTAGATGAAGAAACAGATCTCTTTATGGGAAGCAAGGTGAAATGATTTACTTAGGGTCACACTGCCAAATAGGAATCAAACTGGAATTAGAGTTAATTCTCCAGACTGCTGATCTAAATCTCTTTTCAATGTATGTGAGCTGCTTGCACAGCATATTTACATTTTAAAAGAGGAGAATGGTAACTGAAGCGAAAGCGTAGGTGGTGTGATGGGGCTCTGCACACGGCTTACCTAAGGAAAGCGGGTAGCGTCGTCTCTCCCCTCCTCTGGGCCACTCCCATGATATCGTTCATGTTATGCTTTTTCCTTTCAGCATGTTCCTTATACTGATTAATTGCCCTCAAAATGTTCAATTAAAAGAGGAGAAGAGGGAGGGTAGGTGAGTGAGTTAGCGGGTAGGGGTATTTCCTGGGTCTGCTCCTTTCAAAGGGGCTGTGGGTGTTCCTTTAGAAGGGGATATGATCTGTTTCTTTACAGTCACTTAAGGATGGCTACGAAAGGGATTGTAAGGGTTGGGCTGGTGGCAGTGTTGACCAAATGCCCCTCGACCAGATGGCAAGTTTCTTTTTTGTGGCGATCCCAGACTTCCTTTGTATTTCCTCTCTGCACCCCTCCTCGAGGACTTTGTAGAGTGGAACTGTCCCTGTGTCTGCCAGGAACTTGGATGCAGGAAATGTTTTCAGAACATGGTTCCAGAGAAGAAGGGAAGGTCAAAATGGCCAAATAAGTTTTGCTGAGTGGTATGCTATCTGTGGGGCAGACAAGGTAGAATTCTGACGGGCGCTCTTTCTCTGCTTGAAAATATCAGCCTTTATCCATCTCATTATTTTCCCCTTGAAACTCTCACACAAGCCAACTGTAAATACATCCTCAAAGCCATGTGTTTCATGCCTCTCAGATGCTCCCCAGAAATTAGTTTTCACTTGGACAAGAGAGAAGCTGTGAGGTTGTTCTCTGATCCCTCAAAATCCTCCAGAATTGCCACCTTTATTGCACAGAACTAATGGTGTTGGAACAGAACCATGTCTTTCGCGGGATGACTCAGAATTTCAGATTGATGTGGAATGTATTGCTTTTTCCTCTCATTTTAGTTTGAATCAGAAACTTCAACTGGAACAAGAGAAGCTCAGTTCTGATTATAACAAGCTGAAAATAGAGGACCAAGAGAGAGAAATGAAACTGGAAAAGCTGTTGTGAGTATACCTTAAATATTTCCTCTGTTTTCTCTCATCCTGGTGAGGTCTTAAAAAGTCTACTTTTGTGATTCAGATAGTCATGTATTCTGGTTAGCTTGGGCCAATTTAGAAACTGACAGTGGTTATTCGTGTGAGTTGGTTTGTTTTGTTGATTTATCTGCAGATGCTAAGGGTACCTAAGGAGATCTCTGATGACCCTTTGGTGGCTTATGATTCCTTTTCATTTTTCAGATTGCTCAATGACAAAAGGGAACAAGCCAGGGAGGACCTCAAAGGGCTGGAAGAGACAGTGGTATGTCAATATGTTTCCCAATTTATTTTAGTTTCAAAGATCGGATTAGTTTATGATTTGTTGAATATTTTTATTCTAAAGTGCTATCTGCATACAACTTTCCCATGTCTTTTTAGATATAAAATATCTTGTGGAAAAATGAAAGTGTAGAATTAATTCCCCACCTCTTGATAGAATGACCGTGTGTCTGTGTGTCTGTCCATCCATCCGTCCATCCGTCCATCCATCCATCCATTCATTTATCCATCCATCCACACACCCACCCATCTATCCACCCACTCATCCATGGTGCCGTAACCCTGAAACCCTTGAGTAAGAATTGAACTAAATTGCAAATCAATACCTGCAATTTTATGGCCTCTGTGCTTTGTGACTGACTTCCATTCAACATTCAGCATTTACTTATGGAGAACCTACCATGGGCTGGCATTCTTCAGATGCTTGGGATGCACCAGTAAACAACAAATAAGATCCTGGCTCTCATGAAGCTTACTTTTAGCTCATGGAGACAGACAGTGAACAATAAGGAAGTAAATCATGAACTCCGTTGGATGACTGTAGAAAGTACAGAGCACAGTGGTTGGGGAGGAGGCTCCATGAGGAGGCTATTTTTGAGCGGGGACTTGAAGCAGTGAGCCATGGGGATGTCTGGGGCAGAGCCTTCCAGGCAGAGGCAAAAGCTCGTGCCAAAACACCCTGAGGTGAATCCATGCCTAGCATGTTGGGAGACAGCAGGGAGGTCATTGTGGCTGTGGCCAAGTGAAGAAGGAGGGCAGGAGGTGGGCACAGAGAGGTCAAGGTGAGAGGTCAAGTCTCCCTGAGACCTACAGGGTTTGGGGCAGAGGGGTAAGAGGTCCATTTACCTTTGGAAGGGCTCATCGTTTGAAATCCCATGTGGTTTTCTCTGTCTTGCATCTGAATTTACTGGGTTTGTTTCCTCTGATCAACTTTTTCAGCTGCCCTGGAGGCTGGCTGCCTGGCTCTGTGGGCCTCGACGGCCCTTCACAGTGCCACACAGCTTGTGTTTGAAGGCAGGCCCTTCCATTTGGTGCAATATGTCCAGTCATTTCACATGACACAACAACAGAGAGAAACTGTTGTTTAGACATGGTCAGACATTTTGATTCTCTTAATGTGTCATGTGAACTTATGTGGGACTGAGCCTGTTTCTAGGAATTGATGATTCCAGGCTGTAGGCAGTGGTTGCCCAGGGCTGGACCTGACTAAGGCTGCCCTCTGGCTCCCGGGCCAGTGCTAGCTGCTCCTCAGAGCCAGGTGGAGGAGCGAAGGCACAAGCCTTTCGGGACAGAAGTAAGAGGACTGTTCAAAGGAAGTCAGACCTTTCAAGCATGGCGGACAAGAGTGTATACAGGGTAGCTGTGGGGGAAACTAAAATGAAGCCATAAAATTGCTTCATCTACATCTGTTTTACTGGAGAAGTGATATTCATAATTATAGTTTATTATAAAAATTCGGAAAACTATCAAACATTAAAACGTTAACTGTATTTCCACCAGCCAGATAAATGACATTTCAGCGTCTTCCTTTCCTTTACACCCATGAATGCTCTCACCCCGCTATACCCACCCTTCCACACCCTCACACAGATGTTCACTCTTTTACCTCCCTCTCTCTCATGGTCTCACACTCACAATTCCTTCACCCACACTCATGCGCAATCACTCATTCTCACACACACATATCATCACACTTTACACATATTTATACCCACACTCAGGTATACCACGCCACACGAGTACTCATAGTCACTCTCACACCCATAGGCTCTCACTTCATGTTTTCACGCCTGCACCCATCCACACGCTCACATGCCTTCACGCTTATCCATATACAGGTACTCACAACTTACACACACTCAGTACACCTCACAGCACATTCACACAAATTCGCATTCACTAATGGTTATTCACACTTTCTCACTTGCACATTCACACCTTCGCTGACCCTCATGCACTCATTCGCTTTAACACTCTCGTTCAGCTTAACTCACGTGTCTACTCACGCCCCCACACCCATCTCAGACTCTCATGCTTTCTCTCTCGTTTATACTCATCCTGAGCATATTTTTTTTTTGCCTTTTTGATGTTTTGAATACATTTTTAACAACTTATTTTCCTGACTGGCCTCCTCATATCTATTCACGGGTTCTCTCTTCCTCTCTCCCACCTGCTCACTCACATTCTCACACTCACCCCCTCCTGCACTCACCTGCAACACACTTAGTCACTCACAGACTTTCTGCTGACACAGTGGCTCCCACTTTTTATTGCTCTCACTCATCACTCACACATATCATACACATATACTTTTTAAGCCGAAGCTTGGAACCCCACGGTATGTGCCATTGTAGTCTTGGCTGTTTTCACTTAACTTTTCAACATAACCCTCCCCAAGCCATAAATGTTCTTTAGAAACTGGGTTGTTGTCCTTGGCTGACCATTTGTGAGCCCCCGTTAGCTCAAGGCCTGTTTTGTCTCCTTGAGTGTTTGGGTGGGGTGAGGGATGGAACTTGTATCCAGGATGAGTCTGTGAAGGTCACTCCAGGGAATGACATTGGAAAAGGCCAGCTGGCCATTGAGGTCGTCTGGTACCCTAAGCAACCATCTTGCTTTAACAGGACACTTTGTCTGGGCTCTGGGGCTGGACCCTCCTTCTGCTGTGTTGATGGGCTGCCTGTTTCCACCTCTCTGGTCCTACCCTCACTGTGACAAGAAGCTGAGCACTGAGCTTTTACACAAAGGGCTGTGATCTTTGTGTAAAGATCTTTGGGGGAAGATCTGAGTGAAGAGAGTTGGGGGGCAGGCGATGATAGTGAATATGATGGAGGAAAATATGTTGTTGCAGGAAGCCAAGTGATAGTCACTTATGTGTAAATGTCTTAAGTATAAAATAGCTTATAAACTATTTTAAAGGGCTTTAGCTGCCCCTTCCAAACTGTTGGATTTACCTAAAAACAAACTGGAGGAAAAGTCACCGAACTCAGAGTTCCTATGCCCAAAGAAATGCCTGGTCTTTTGACAAGGCACTGTAACTTCTCATTTCCTTTTGGTGTGGTGGTATTTTTCCTGAAAATATTTACTGTGATTACAGTTCAATCAGTAATAAAATCCCTGAAGTGGGAGGGAGAGCGTGCAGGGCAGAGGATTGAGGTCTGAGCTCCCTTGGGCAGGAGCAGGGAAGAGCACATCTGCAGAAATGTGAGCACTGAGCTGCACCCCTACACCTGCCTTGGAAGGTGGCTAAGCTTTAGACAGGTACGGTGTGCACAGTATTCACTGTAACAGACCCTTTTGGCTTCCTGCAGAAAGTCATTTGCTTCATCAGAGGAAGCGATTGACTTCAGGTGCTTCTCACTTCATCACAATTGCAGAATTGGACCCAGTAATAAGACCTAAATTAATATGGAAACTTTATTCCAAGAAACTTAGTGTTTCCATAGCTTTATAGCCAGTTTCTCCTTTTTTTCTGTGAGCATGTATGAGCTGCATCCCTTGACATTCTCTGCCGAAGTGGGTCAACTTAGACATATTGACAAGTACAGATATGAGTTTGTCTCTCTCTTCCTCCCTTATGGAAAAATATTTTCCAAGGAACGAATTATAATACGTGGAGACTTGAATGGAAGGAAGTATTTCGGTTTTCTAATCTCGTTAAAGACGTCAGCATGTTTGACTCAGACCCTCGTCTCTGCAATCTAATTCCTAGGAGTTCGTTTGTACCAGATAATCCAAAATAAAGAAAAAATGTCCCCTAAGAAGTTAATTGCACTGAGAGTTATAACAGCAACTGCACCAACTGTAGAAAACAATAAAAGCCTAATGAGTAAATGGCTGTCAGATGTGATTGCATCAATAAAGTAACACTAGCTAATGTTTATTGAGCACTTACTATGTGCCAGAAACCGTTGTGTTTTATAAGGATCATCTCATTTAGTCTTGGACAACAACTATGAGGCAACTACTATTTTTTATCCTCACATTACAAATGAGGAAACCGAGGCACAGAAAGGTTAGATAAGTTTTCTGGCATTACCTGGGTGGAAAGTCCACCAGCTGCCTTATCCATAAGCCCAGTGATGCAAAGCAGGTGAATCTGTGGACCAGGGCCAGAAGGGAGTGTAGAAACGTGAAAATTGTTAGTCATTGGAGTGGGAGAAATTGTGGCTACATTTTCCTTTCACCTTGTTCACCTTGTGTATAACGCGTCTGTGAGAAATTGGAAAAAAGAATCTGTTCTGGTAAAACCCAATCCACTAGGAATTTTTGTGAGAAAACTTTAAAATTTTTGTGGTGGAAGGGGGAAAAAAGGTTCCACTCAGAACACAGTAAATGAGCAGGCTTTGTTCTGGTTTGCAGCTCACTGAGTTCCCAGCTTCTGCACCTTGGGGTGCTGCTGAGATGACGCTGGGTGGAGGGGGTTGACGCGTGGTGGGCAAGTCAGGGGAAGTGCGTGGACAGTGTCGCCTCGATGGCGGGCCTGCAGAGCAGGTGTGGCAGTGTCTGGAGTTGATGATCTAGCACCACATGGGTAATAAATTCAGGGTGTTCCCCTGCTTAAGTGGCATTTTAACAATCTTCTCTTCCAGTCTCGGGAACTGCAGACTCTGCACAACCTCCGTAAACTCTTCGTCCAGGATCTGACTGCCCGGGTTAAAAAAGTGAGTTCTATTTTGTGTGACCGGGACCGAGAAGAAAAGAAAGATGGCCAGAAAGAATCGTTTTCAGTTGAAATATTGCTTGCTAAAATTGGGGCTGGTTATGCTTAAACATTAATTACTTCATGCCAGAGAATGTTATTAAAAGAATGTGCTAGAGGCAAAAATTACTTGGGAACATTTTTCCATCTGATTTTTCCTTCTTAGTAAAGGGAAGTTATAATTTTCTCCCTGGGTCTTCATTTTAAGTGAACGCATACTTATCTGGCTGTAGTGTGAAAGCCACTCTGCACGGTTTAGGGAAAACCCAGTGGGGTCTTGTCGGACAGTGTCACCCTAAAGCCTGGTGAGCAATGCCAGACACCTAGTGAAGGTAGAGGTGACAGCCTCCTGCTGGCCTGTTAGGAGGCCACTAGGAGCTAGGTCAGAGTGTATGAAGCACTGGAACATCCGGTGTCTTATCTGCTCTTCCCAGACACTCTGTAAGTGGTTCTTGGCGTTCTGTTTTGCAGATGTGGAGATAGGGTCAGAGGTTTAATAACTTGCCCAAGATTGCACAGCTGGAGAGAGTCAAAGATAGGACTGGAATGAGGTCTGTGTGCCTTCTGAATCTGAGCCTCTTTGATCCTCGTGCCACACACAGTGATCATGGGGAGTTGCCATACGGTGCACCCCCAGAGCAGCTTACAGAGGTTTAAAGACAGAGGGAGGGATGGAAACAGCAGCCACTCTTTCAGAATGTTTAAAAGCGATGGGGACAAGCAGCCATGGGCCATATCCTGAGGCATAATAGGCCGGAAGGAAGCTATACTTAAGAAAAATGTGTGCGCGTATGTGCGCATGCATGCACGTGTACGAAGGAGCCAAGGAAAGAAGGTGAAATGTATAAAAAAAAAAAAGAACAGGTTATTGCTAGAGTCAGATTAGAGGGGGACAGAATTATTAGCGTAGAAGGATGTGTTAGGCTCTGTCAGGGAAAGGGACACATTTTCCCAGAGAGAAGTGGAGAAGCCGAGATGGAGACATTTGTAGGGGGAAGGGAAATAGACAGTGGAAAGAGATGCATCTGAGGACTTTGATGCTCTCAGTTAACGTGGAGGCTCTATCCTCAGTGGAGAAGGAAGGAGAAGGCTCAGGTAGCTGTTGGGGGAGTTTGCTGGGGACGAGTAAAAGGATTGTTGAGCAGTAGTGTCAGTATCCAGCTGAGGGCCAGACCACAGGTTTGCCATGGCCCCTGACAGCATGGTTCTAGGGAGTTTGGAGTCCTGGAAATAAAAATAAAGAAAAAGGGGTAGAAAGTGATGGGATATTTCAAGGTCTGAATGGCAGTGGTCAGGCAGATAGGTAGAGACCATGATCATCAAAATAGAAATGACTATAGGACCTAGACCACATGGGAGAGAGAGGCCAGAGCACAAGTGATGGAGAGGGAGACTGGAGAGGTTATGACAAGAACTGAAAAGACTCCGTTGGAGAGAGAAGGTGGTCTGAGGTAGGGTGAAGAGCTTGAGATCAAACTTCCCTGATTTCACAAAACTCTAGGAAAGACTTGTGGTTCTCATTAGCATCTCTTGGGAACTTGCTGGATATGCACATTTGCAGACCCACCTGAGACCCACTGAATCAGAGATTGCAGGTGCGGCCCAGCAATCTGAGTTCTGACAAATCCTCCTCCTGGTGAAGTTCGAGAACCTTGGTTTTAGACTGAAGAGACACAGGCTTAAGATGCTCTTATAGCCATTACCTCTCAGAAGAAGGATGATGATCTTTTCTGTAACTAGACAAAGCAAGCTTGCTTTGTCAGTTTTGGACTCCAGGATGTGTTTGCACATGGACTTCCCAACCTGTCTTGGCAGTGCCAGGAGGGCAGTGTTTTTGCCAGTCTCAAGATCTGATAAAGTTCACCCCGCATAGCACTCAGATGCTGGGACTTTTGAGATGGATTCATTAAGGAATTTCATGGAAGTAGAATCCAAAGAGACAGAGCAGAGGCCACTGAGACTTCTCATTGGGACCACAGACACTTGCCCACAGCTTGGTAACTTATTATCTCAGTTGAGATGTTTGCAATTAACTTTAGGCCTTGGGTTTATGTTTTCACATTGGTTCTTCTTAATGAGTTTTGGAACACTTCCTTTTGAGAAGAAAAGTCTACCTACCTTCAAGGGAGAGGTGTATTTCACAAGGAGAACTAATCTGTATCTTTCAGAACAAGATTTCAAGTTTTTTTCCCTCCCAACCCTCTGAAAAATAACACTCTTGACACCAACCAAGGAAATTATAATTGGGAAGGTCATTGAGTCTAAACTTGTAGAATTTCTTTTCATTTTCATTTTCAGAATAACCTTTAGTGGGATTGTGAATTTAAAAAATACTTAGAATGTATTGTCCACACTAAGCTGGGGCTGAGGGTGGGCCGTATGAAGGCTTGTCTGCTGACTCCTTGGTTTTGATACAGAGTGTAGAGCTGGACAGTGATGATGGAGGGGGCAGTGCTGCCCAGAAGCAGAAAATCTCCTTCCTAGAGAATAACCTGGAGCAGCTCACGAAGGTTCACAAGCAGGTAGGAGAGTTGTGCCAGCTTCTTTCTGCTTCTCTTCCTCTCCTGGCAAGGATCCCTGCTAGCCACAGTACAGGGAGAAGGCTCCAATATTGAAGAATGTTACTGCTTGAAGGGTCCTTGAAATCCTTTAGTCCTCAGTGACTTCCCTTACATATAAAATACTTTTATTTTATCAGCCAAATATAAGGAATTGAGTTTGAGTTCTCTGGGGCTTGAGGAAGGGGATGTTATGAGTCCTGTCTTTTCATCCTGCCTCCAGTCCCAACCTCAGTCCCCCTAGTTGGCCTCATTTTCTTGCATGACACATCTGAGGCCCCTCTGTGGACCCAAAGGCTCCACAGAAGGCAAAGTGGCCACCATTGAGATGTGTCGGGCCCCTTGCTTTTACCGACGAAACAGACTGGGAGAGAAGTGACTTGCCTTATCCCATGGGTGGGAGAACTGGGACCAGGACTGGCCCTCCCTCTCTCTGCTTTGTCACTCTATTTCTTGGGTACCTTCTTAGGTTCCTGTGATGCCCTGGAGTTTGCGTAGAGTCACGGAGAGCAATAACCATGTCCAAACCTACCCGTGACTTAGGCAAGTTGTTTCTTTTCTCGGAATGTTGGAATGTTCATGACTGTTTTCTCTAAATCCTAACGATTAGAGATATGATAGAGATGGTCCATCTTCATGCTACATGGATGAGAGAATGCCATTCCTCTTTGACTTGTTAAGTCCTCTTTAACATTACTGATGTGACATTTTTCCCCAGAGTAAGGACAAGAGATTCAATGTAGTTAAAGTCATTCAAATAAATTGTTGATGAGGAATACAAAAGCAAAAACTGCCAGAGAATAGGGCTCTGAAATTCATAATTATTTTCTATATGAATTCGATGAATATTTATTAAAGACATACTCTCTGCCAGGCACTGGAGCTAGTACTGAGAAAACGAGGATAAAGAACACGGATATGGACCCAGCAATAGTTCAGACGTCATATAGGACTTAACTGATTTTCAAAACTTTTCTTTATCCACTTGGATTTCCACTGTGGTCCTATTATGTCCGCCCCCCACCCCACCCCTGCCCTCCCGCTTTTTTTTTATGGATGAGAAACCCTAGACTTGTAGTGGTTGAATGATTTATACCAAGTCAGATGGCCAGGAAATAATAGAGCTGGCTCCTGAGCCCACTCCTAACCCAAGGTGAGCCCGTTGCTTCTTCACTGAGGATCTTAAGTAATGAAAGAATGAGCAGTTGCCCCCAAGTTGCCTGTTAGCTTATGGATATATCGCAGAGAGGGGTCCAAACCTCATGCTGCTATAGGCAGTGGGTCCTGCATGGAAGGAGGCCTTTGGGGAGCCTCAGAATATGTGTCTTTCACTGAGTGCTTTTGCCTTCCATTTCTTAGCTTTCACCTGCTAAAGTCGGAGCACTCAGTTTTCTCACACTATTTGCTCCACCTGCGCACACTAGAGAGGAAGTAAATCCTGTCCAAGCCTGAAAGTTTCCTGTGGCTAGAAATGGCTTTTCATTTTATTTTCTATCCCTTCTCCCATCCTCACTCCTGTGAATCTTGTATTTAGCAAATCAGAGTCCCAGTGTATGGCGTTTTTATTTTCCCTTTCTACTCCCAGAGGTGATGCTCACGTGGCCTTTTCACCTGGGGGGGCGGGGTCAGTCAGCTACAGAGTCTGCTTGTAGCTGCTTTCTGATCACGTTCTTTACCCCGCGAGGTGGATCTGCCCCTCCTATCGGCCCCTCCTATAGGCCCCACCGCCCGGCTGATAACTCCCCACCTTCCACTCCTTGCCCCAGCTGGTCCGGGACAACGCAGACCTGCGCTGTGAGCTGCCCAAGCTGGAGAAGCGGCTGCGTGCCACCGCGGAGCGCGTCAAGGCTCTGGAAAGCGCGCTGAAGGAAGCCAAGGAGAACGCCATGCGAGACCGCAAGCGCTACCAGCAGGAGGTAGATCGCATCAAGGAGGCAGTGCGAGCCAAGAACATGGCCAGGAGGGCCCACTCGGCCCAGATAGGTACGTGCTCTCACCCGTCATACGTGCCTTCTCGCTTGGGCCCTTGCGCTCTGGTGCTCTGAGGCCACCTGGACAGTCTGCTCTGCTAAAAGGTAAGGATCCCACAGGCCAGAAGCACTGGTGCTCTGAGGCCACCTGGACAGTCTGCTCTGGGTCACCTGAATGGCTATGATCAGTTCTGCAGGACCTAGGCCTGGGAGAATGGGAACGCCAGGCACCTACTTCCTTACACTGAGAGATCCCGGCCTGCGCTGTGGCCTTCGCCGCTGCGGAGCTGAGCAGGGAGGCCTGCTAGCCTCGGCAGAGGTGTTGGGCTGTAAACAGAGATGCGCTCTCAGAGATAGCAGAACACACAGCTGTTTCTCAGCAAGGCCCGAAGGCCCCTTCTGTCCTGCACTGGGCGGAACCGTGAAGGAGCCGTGTGTAGCCAAAAGCCTCAGGGAAAGCTGCTTTCAAGTGCAGGTTTGGAAATGCCTGACTCCCAGGCCTGGCAACAGTGAGAGGGGTGTGACTCCAAGCTGGGGAGGGGGCCTGGGCATCCAGCCCCTTCAAGATCTGGGTTTGGGCATTTTGCCCATGCAGAGAATGAGAGTGTAGCTGCTGAGTCATAGTTCTTAGGATAGAGCCGTAGGAGTGAAAGGGATTTAGGGATGTTCTCTAGAGTGCTTTTAAAACAATTGAAACATCTCCAATAGCATGTAATGTTATTGCCCATCAGATAGTGTTGTGCAGATGTTTTATAAACCAGTAATTTCATATTTCTAGTTTTAAGATTGTGCTTTAGATTAGTGGTTCATTGGATTTTAAACTCTTGTATTTATTGAATTTTATACCTTTTGAAAAATACGGACCCTATCCACAGAAATATGTATCACAGGCAGAATTCTGCATCCGATTTCAGGGGCTACACAGATGCCCTGGGAACCTGTGGGGACCTATGGATCTACCTCAGAGAAAACTGAAAGTGCTTTGTTTCTAATTTTCCTCAATCTGAATTAAAATAATTGATAAGTAAGTTCTTTCTGTCTCCTAAATGTCAGGTGCCCTGGTTTGGCTGACTGTACTAACAGGAGGGCAGTACTCCTGTGTTCAGAAAGGCCTGGTGGTTGAGAACTGTAACGTTGATAAGAATTGCGCCTCTTGGTTTTCATGTGTGGACTGGAGGCGTCTGGGTGTGGCTGCTGAAGCCTTTTCTGAATGTCTCTTCTCTTCTTTCTATCGGTTGGATACAGCCAAGCCCATCCGCCCTGGACACTACCCAGCATCATCTCCAACAGCCGTCCACGCCATCCGAGGAGGAGGAGGCGGCTCTTCAAACTCCACTCACTACCAGAAATAAATATGAAGTGAGTCCCTGGTGTCAGGGTGGTTTCTATCTGGGGCAGCCCTAGGCAGATAGATCCCTAGGCTGCCTGGCTTCTGGCCATGCGCATGTGGGCCTGCAATAGAAGAGAGCTCTGCCCCATGACGGGCCCTGGGGTTCAGATTATCAGGGACCTGGGCCTATCCTCAACTCAATCTAGAGCCCTGGGGGTCTTCTGGCTGGGGCCACTGGTGCCAGGGCCCCTCCGGGGGTAGATGAGAGTGTGATGAATGAGTCACCTGAGCTTTCTTTTGTCTGTGGGACTCCCCTCTGTAGCTGGCATCGAAAAGGGCATTACCCGTTTGTCAACTGCTTTTGCCCAAAACATACAGATGTGGGTGGTTAAGTCTCAGGAACTGAATAGAAAGAAAGAACTAGATAATGGAAAGTCATATTTTTATAATTACTATCTGAACACAACAAATGGAGTTTTTCAGAATTATACTAATTTATATCTAGGTGGATCCAGACCACTTTTTTTCTTTGAGATAATGGGCTGTTGACTTTTCTTTCCACAACCCCCATGCCCAATATTGTTCTACCAGCAAAAGGAAAAAATGATATGCTTTGGAAGAAAGAAGGAGAGAGCAAAGCCTGTCCTTTTGGGCAGGGCAGACAGACAACTAGGTATCCAGAAAACTCTGTTTTAAAAATCTCTTTGAACCAGTAACCTGTGGATGGGAGGAGGTGGCCATGCACATTGTCCTTGGACTCTGTGCCTCACTAAGGAAGCTTGCTTGAAAGATGGGTGAGCTTGCACAGTAAAGGCTCAATGACCAAGGGCAACTAGGAGAGCTGTGTGGTTTCTCACCTAGTCCTTTTTGCATCAAGGTAAGGAAGGTGAACGGGAGGGGCCTGGAGCCCTCACATAGGGAGGATGGGCTGGGAGGCACCAAGACGACTTTTATCTGTGCTCCCCCAGGCAGCATTCAAGGGGCAAGACAGGGGCCGTCAGGTTAGCAGGACAAGAAGGAGGTCGAGGAAGCTCGTGAGTGGGCAACATAGTCACCACCGCCTGCCATATCCCAGAAGAGTGGATGGGAAATGGGGAGGGCCACCCCATTCAGATCTGATCTCCACTTTCAAACAGAAATAAAATAAAATTGGATGTTGTAGAATTGCTTTTGACTGCCATGCGATCAGTACTGGGGTTGACACTAAAAGGGAACTGTAAGATCAAGTTGCACAAGTTAGAACAGGAAAGCGTACAAAAGCACTGGTTCTGGACCTTTGTGGGCGTTGGCATCATCTGGCACCCAGAGACCTGGGCTCATTGAAGTAGCATAGGGCCTGCGCCTTTGTATTTTTACCAGCTCCCCGCACATGGTTATGTTTGCCACCAGAGTTTGAGAACTACTATCCTAAAGTAACTGCGGCTTGTACAGGATGGAAGTGTTTGTCACATAAAGGAAATTTGAGGTGGTCTACCAATGGCTGGTAAAAGTACTCTACAGTGATGACAGAAAGCTAACCTGTTAAATTTAGACTCATCGTCCTCCGCAGGTACCTTGCTTCTTCAAGATCATCTCAAGGCCATCAAAATGACTTCTACAATTTACGTTCCAAGTGTAGTAAGCAGAGAGGAAGCAGGGAAGAGGCAGAAGCAGCTCTCCCTCCCACTGAATCGGCTCCCTTTAAGCAGCCTTCACAGAAGTCCCATACAGTCCTGACGCCCACGTCCCTCTGGTATAACCGAGGCACGTAGCCACATCTATCTGCAAGGGAGGCTAGAAAGGATGGTCTTTTAAAAAGCTGGGCGCATCACTGCCCCCAAAGAAGAGTGGTGTTCTGCTGAGGGCAGGAGACGGATGCCGGAGTAGACAGCCAGCACTCTGTGTTAATTGAACATCTGGCGTGCAGCAGCGCTGTGCTAGATGTAGTATCTACGTTACCTCATTTGAGTAGCGCACAGAGAGGTCACTGTGCTTGGGTCCCAGCAAACCCTTAATAAATATACCAGCCCAGGGACTCTAGGTCCAGACACTGCAGTGGACAGTCACTTCCCCAATGCTGTCCCATAAAGGTCTGCCAGACCCACATTTTATGTAAGGTACATACAACCAAACGTTGGCCATTGATCACCTGGATATCCTCTTCTCATGTGAAGATTGAAGATCAGTTGGTCTGGTGAGACTTTGAAGACTTTCAGTGTCACAGAACCACCCTCACCACCATGGTGATTCATTTCATTCCCTACTCAAAGTACAGGCCATGTGCTTTTCTCACAACCTCACAAAACAAACAGGCCCCTTTCCCATTGTCAAGATGGTGGTGTGGTCACGGTGCCTGGCTTTGGACAAGAGACCTGGTCAGCGGCAGGTCTTCCACTTTCTTCGAGTTATTTAATCTCTGAGTCAGTTTCCTCACTGTGAGATAGGGAGAACATTTTCCCTGGGTCATTCGCATTGGTACGAGTACCAAACGAGGTCATGCTTCTGAGCCGCCTGGCATGTCACAAGCACTCAGAATGTCGGCTTCTAGGGTAGATGAGCAGTGCAGTACTTGGCACAGTGCACGCAGCTGATAAATGTTGGTTTATAATCTCCTTAGATTTACGTAGTTGCTACAAAATAATTTTTAGTTTTCTCTGTAGCACTAGATTATAACAGTGGGGAAAGCCCATGTCTGAGTATCCTGTTTGCCGCTATGAGAAGATATAAGAGATTTTAAAGATACTATCATTTATTTACTTAAAAGTTATGAATAAGAACATTGACTGTAAGAAAATGACTGGGCATTTGTCAGTGGAAGTAAAAAAAAATAAAATAAAATAATAAAAATAAAAAGGATAGCAACCGATAGAGTGGGGAATCATAATTGGAAGTGAGGAAACACTAAATCATTTTAAAAGAAATTATTGGAAATACAGAGTTTATTGTTTAGGTGAGATAAACCCCTTTTTGAGGTGGTCTTTCTGTACCCTTCGGATTCTCATTCTGAAGTGTGTTTGCCGTGGGCGGAAATGACCTCAACTGCTGACCCTTCCCAGCCCTCCTGTTGGAGCCAAAGCGGCATATTTATACTTGAGCAGCATCTGGATATCTTTAAGGTTTTCTTCTGCTCCATTTCAGGGTTCAAGAAATATAATCACAAGGAGTATTTTGGTTTATTTTCAGGATTTCAGAGGAACTGAAGATGTAGCAATTGACATATAGAAACCAACATGTAGATCAAAAGAACCCAGGGTAATGCTCATCTAGTTCATTCACATCTAGGGCAGCTGCCTCACAGGAAGGGGGACCATCTTTTTCAGACCCTAAAACTGGACATGGGGCAGTATAGTGCAGCAAGCTAAGGACATGGGACATGGGATATGGGATTGGCCAGACGTGGGTTCCAGCCCTGGCCTTGGCTTTACTCCTGTGTGACATTGGGCCAGTTGTTTGGTATCCTTCAGCCTCAGTTTCCTCATTCACGACATGGGGTCAGACATCGAGAGCCTGCTCTTGGTTTAACAGTGAGTGAGACAAAGCAAGCTCTGTTCTTATGCACCGATATGCTTACTATGGTGGGAGACACAGCAAATGAACAAGGTCACTTAAGATAGTGGCAAGTGTTCTGAAGAAAATAAGATCAGGTTAATAGACTGGGGATGGGAGATGCTTGTTTAAAAAGAAGGGGTGGCATTTGAGCTAAGAACTGAATATCGAAAAACGCCAGTCACTCACATGTCCTGGGACAGTGACACAGACACTCGCTGGAAGGTGAGAATGACTGTGGCATATTTGAGGAGCCATGGAAGACTGACAGGGCTAAAGCACAAAGAACAGAAGAGACCATCATGATTCGGGTTGTTAGGGAGGAGATGGGGACTGGATAGATAAGGGCTTCGAGGCCCAGGTGAGCAGTCAAGAGTGTGACCTAAGTGCGTGGGGCCACTGGGGGCTTTGGGATGGAAGTGGTGGCGGGAACTGGTTCATGATTGGAAAGGGCCATCCTGGGCCGGGGTCCAGATAAAGGATGGGGATGTGGTGAGAGTTAAGAGCAGGGGCTCCCCTAGGGGGCTGTTGAGGGCGTCCACTTGTAAGAGAATAGCATGGAGCCGAGGTGGTGGCAACAGAGATGGTGCCAAGTGGTCAGAGTCAGCTCCTGTGTGAGAGCTGAGGGTGGAGGGGAGAGGAGGAGATGGAACTTAAAGGTGGTTCCCAGGTTTGGGCCCTAGCAACCAGGTAAATATTGGTACCTTTTAGCATAACTGGGAAAATTGGGTGGCGAGCAGGTTTTACGGAAAAACAGAGTTTGACTTTCATCATGCTGTTTATAAGGTGCCTCTTAGACATCTAACCGAGCTCACCGTCCAGTGTGTGTGTTGAGTAGGCAGTTGGATCGATAAGTGAAGCTCAAGAAAGAAGTTGGGGTTGAGGTGGTAGAGAGGTATAACCTGTAGGTTGTGTTTAAGGCTGTGGCTCTGGAGGAGGTGACTTAGAGGAAGGGTGGACAGTAGCAGAGAGATGGGGGACTTAGGCCAGGCCCCGGGGACTTCAGAAAAAGGAAGTGGCACCAGCAAAGTCATCTGAGAAGGAGAATGTGAAATTTGGAGAGGCCAAGTACAGACCTGGTTCCTTGAAAAAGGTGGTCATCTGTGTCAAAGGATGCCCAGAGCTTGAGGAAGATGACAGTGGGGACTGGGTAGTTGGTGAAGGCTGGAAAGCAGTGACCTCAGCAGCTTCAGCGGATGGGGAAGCAAGCCCAGTTAGCTCAGGCTAGGGAGAGCGGAGGTGGGGAAGTAGAGTCAGCAACTGCACCAGCTTGGAGTGTTACTTGAATGGAGGGATGTGGGATTAACACGGGGTTTGCACTATCACAGTTTATTTGTATGTGGATGGTAGTGATCCAGCTGAGAGGGGAAATGGATCGTGCAGGAGACAGAAGAACTACCAGTAAAGGTACTGGCTACATCAGAGGTTCTGTGATCTAGTGAATAAGCAGAGGTGACACTGCATTCAAGGTGACCGGAAGGCAGAGTAGAGTGCAGGTGCTGGAACAGGTGAGGTGGCGAATGGGATGTGCAGGGAGGTGAAAGGGGCCTCAGGTTATCAGCTGAGAGGGAGTGGGGTAGATGGGCTGCAGGCTGGAGAATAGAGGAGGTGTGAAACAGCCCTCTCAGGCAGCGCTAAGTGCTTATTCGAGGTCCCACATTTAATGCAGACACCATTTAAATACTTGCCTCGCTCCCCGGTTCTGAGAGCCCAGGCAGACCACTTCCTTTCTTGGCGGTGCTTTATCAAGCACTTGTTCAGATGTATTCACCAGATGGCGCCAGTGGGGCACTGCTGAAGCCTCTGCTGTTTTCTGGAGGACTGTGAGGCAGAACGGTCTTTTTCGGTTTTTCTATATTTAGACCGTTATTTCTCAAACTTGAACAAAATAGAGTACTTTTAAAAGAATAAAATTGTCACCGAGTCTCAGAGTTTATTTACTATAGCATGATGATTAAATATTTGCATATTTAAAACAATGTATATTCCTTGGACTTAACAGATCTTACACAGCTATCAAATCAAAACAAATTCAGAGGTTACATTAAAATAAAACCACAGATCAAAAATCTAAATCACCAACCTTAATATAATTTAACGAAAGATCATCTTTCGCTGAAAATAAAGAGCTAGGTGCAGTGTGACTCCGGAATACGTTTCTTCTGGCAGAGTTTGCTGTGCCTGTACCACTTCATGACTCAATTCTTTCACCCCTTTTCTCTGTTAGAGCCACTGAGGGATCATAGCCTTCTGGTCATTGTGTCTTCTCGTGCCTGGAACACATCATTTTCCTGACGAGTTTAGATCTTTTTAGCCCGAGGATGACGAAAGTCATGAGGAGCAGTGCTAACTTGTTTGTAGCATAAAGCGAGTGTGGGGCTGCGGTTGCTTAGGAATGCTTGCTTACAAGGTAGTCAGCTAGATCATCTGGAATACACACATTAATGCTTCAGATTAATGTCTTTCGTGGCCAGAAAGACAAAATTGAAAATACTGTGAAATGAACCAAAGACCCAGGATGCATCTTGCTGTGTTGATATAGGTGAAGACGGACATTTTGGGGACTGCACTTTTATTAAAACCATATATATTAAGTCGAGAAATCATATCTTGTTTAATAAAGTTTTGATAAACTTGTCAAAGTTTATTTGGTAAAATTACAATGGTAGAGTCAGAAGGGACTCATTAGAGCTCTTATAGGACATTTGAAGAAGCAATTCATGTTTGTATGCTATGTGCTTTTTCATAATTTGAGGCGTAAAGGAAACAGCTCTGGAAAGGGACTTGTGCAGTTTATAGCAGGGTCATCCAGGTGAATGTGACTACAAAAAGCCATCAAAGGAGCCTGTTCTGTTATGACCCCAGTGTCTCCGAATTGTGTGCTATTCTCTGGATCAGTGAGTCACTGTAGGATGGCTCTGTATTATTTTCTTCAGGCTTCACTACTTCAGGACCTTTATTGTGAATATATTTGTTAATTGTTAATAAAAATAGTATCTTTAACTTCCTAAATGGTGGGATGGAAGCAGACAAGTAACAAAGATGTCTGGGCTTTCACTACCATTTCTTTTTGCTGCCACAACATTCATCTGTGACCGAGGGCCTAAAATTCTGGACCCCATGTCGCTTGTGTGCCTGCTACATTCAGAATCTTCAGTCTGTCACAGTTGGCCCAGACTAACTTAGAATGCACAGATGACCTTCTATTCCAAGAAGTCTCGTCACAGTAAGCAATCCAGCACTTACCAAATAAACTTTCCAGTCTGGCACTTAAATCTCAGGTTTCCTCTGAATATCCCTGGCCATTTTCCCACATTCATTACAAAGCCCTAAACTTTAGGTCCACTTAGGCCACTGGCTCTGTTTTCTTTGAATCGAGAAAGTTCATGTTCATGTTCTCTGAACCCCCACTCTACCCCTCTACCTGCATCACTCTCCTGACTATACCCCAGGCAGAATGGAGTTCTCTCCATAAGCCTTGACTACTAAAACAACAGAGTCCTCCTTATTTGGTTCTTGGTAGATCCTTAGGTTCAGGCCAAGCTTCCCAAGCTGGCACTGCTCATTTGTACTCTGTTTGCTTTTCTGATTCACTCTGTCTTTCCTTGTTACTCTTTTCTCTGTCCCAAATACCTGGATCCAAGTTGTCTTGGAACCATTTGTAGGGTTCATCTTTCTCTTTCTCTTGGTTTTAGCACTCCAATTACAAATAAAGAATGTTATATACACATAAGGTGCACAAGGTGACTTCTGTCAACAGCAGAAATGGGTTCACTGCACACATGGAGGGTGGGCAAGGAGTTGCTTTCAGATTTAGCCCTCTGAAATGTGAAGCCAAGAAGCTGCATTTACAGCAGATCACATAGTATCCTTAAGCCACACACTTGATCTACATCTAAACTACTGTGCCATTCAACTTGCTACTGCTACAGTCCTAGCAGTGAAAAGATTGAGTCCGAAGAATGTGCCATGCAGGGGGTACTCTTTGCTACAGGCAGGGTAGCTGAGTAGTTGTGGGCTCAGGATCTAGAGCTGCACTCCCTGGGGTTGAATCCTGGCTTGGTTACATACTGGGCAAGTTACTTCATCTCTGTGTTCCTCAGTGTCCTCTGTAAAATGTGACCAGTGAGGTACCTACTGATAGGGAAGCTGTGAGGACTAAATGTGTGAATATGTACCACAGAGAGCTTAGACAAATGCCTGGCACAGAGCATCATCATTATCTAGGCTAGTCTCATTCTACTTTCTGCTTTCTAAAGAGGTAAAATGAACTGTCGAGGTCACACGACTTGTTCATAGTAGGTCTTGGACTAAGACCTCCGATCTGCTATGTAGCAGTTTTCAGAGTTTCTGACTTTAGAACCCTCTATATCTTAAAAAGTATCAATGACATCAAAGAGCTTTGCTATTTCTGGGTTACATCTACCATTATGTTTTATAGAGATTGAAAAAAAAATTAAAATGTTACTACTACTAATATAAATGTCATTTTTAGTGAAAAATAATTATTTTTCAAAACGAAAAACTGAGCAGAATGGCATTGTTTTACCTTTTTTACAAATCTTTTTACTATTTGGCTTAATAGGATTCTCATGTCTGCTTCTGTGTTCTATCTGTTGTTGCAGTGTGTTGTTTTAGTTGAAATATATGAAAGAAACTCAGCCTTGTCACTCCAGACAGGATTCTTGACCATTTAACAACTAAGAAAACTGTGGCATAGAGAAGTATGATCTTAGTACTATCATCACAGGTTTGCTCTGGGAATTGAATGAGATGATATAAAAGAAGACTGAAAAGTCCTAGGAGAGTGCCAGGTAAAAATTAGGCTGTCACAAATATTAGCCAGTATTACATGGCAGCAGAGACAGGCCTAAAAAGAATAGACAAGGCAGGACTTCAGCGAAGGCAAGACAAACATGACTCATGCCATGGGTACTGTTGTGGTGTGTGACTTTGAATCTAGCATTGTGAGTTCAAAGGGAGGAATCATGGAGGATCTGGAAGAGAGAATTCCTTATTTCATCTGCAGTACAGTAGGCTGCACTACTTGAGTTCTCCTCGACGTCACGTTTCTCAGAGTTATAAATTGAAAGCAACTAAAATTGTTCCTCCACAGTGGATTGCACTAATGCTCCTGTGAGATAAATCCACTTCTGTTCAGTAGCGTTACGTAAAGTACAATTAGTAATTCTTATAATGTGAGGATCGAATTGTGGAAAGGTGAAAGAAAAGATAAAACTATGTACTGTTTGGATTAAGTGTAAATCCACTGCAAGCGATTGCAAAAGCCAGGTTGGGGAGGGAAATCTCCAAATACTTCTTGCAAAATTCTTATATAATAAGCTTCTTTCTTCAGCCCTCCCCACCCCTTCTAAAGAAAGGTGATTTTATTTCCTTCTAAACCTGGTCACACATTGCTGTTCTGAATTAGCATCTCCGGGTCAGCCGAGACTAGAGCACAGATCAGACAGGTTACTTGGTCTAGCACCCTGCTTTTAGGTAGTGGGTGACAGCTCTGAACCATCTCAGAGGGCCAGTAGAGCTGGGTTTTAAATGTTCTCAAGATTTGCCAGCCTGGCCAGGTGGCTAGTCTGTGTGATCAGAACAGCCAGAAATTGTTTCTCTTGAGGTTAACCCATTTACCTTTATAAGTTATATCCATTTTCTCTCCCAAGTTCATCTGAAGAGAGGAACATCCAGATAGTCAAGGGATTGATAGGAGTATCCTAGTTGAACATGTTTTTCTCGGGCTTGCTGGAAAGACATCATTGGCAGATAGGCACATAAAGATCTTCAACTTGGGATGAAAAACAACCTGTACACAATAAAGAACCTTTTATTGGTGGAGTTCCTGCGTTTCTCCTTTTTGCAACCTGTCACAATCTCAGTTCTCTCACCCTTCTTATGGTGACTGAATGAGGCAGGTTGGGCCTCCTTTGTGGCCCCCCGTTTCTTCCAAACTATTAGCCAAAACGTGCTGAATCTTGCATCTGGGGGAAGTAGGGGATTTGAATGAAAGGCCTTCTGGTGGAAATCGTGTCACTTCATGGTCTGCTGGAGTTATTGAGGCCGCTGAGTTTGTGAGTCTAATGTTTGGCTCTGTCAACATGGGTTGGCTGCAATCATCCTGTTAAGCCATAATCCTACAATTTAAGGTATGTGCTCATACCTCCCTGCCTCCAGGCATGCAGGAAGACCATCTCATCTGACCAGGGGACCCTTAAGTGATTCTGAGATAGTGTTCTTGGAAAAGTGAACCTGTAAGGAAAGTGAAATGGGGATTTTTCTGATGATTTTCAGACAGCATTCAATTGGTTTTCATTGAAGTGGATTTAAATGACAGCTATGGCCGTGCTTTTGGGTATTTCATTTCTAAGGTCCTAACAAGCATAAAATCTCACCAGAAAGGCTAAATATTAAAGATGCTGTTCTCAAAGACAAACCTGTCTCTCTGTGACCTCTGAAAATAATGTGAATATCACCATATAAGGTTGTTTAAGCCACTTTTAATTGAGCAGCTTTGTAATTATAAGTGATTATCCTGTTGGAGTAGTTACCAAATGAGCGCCTTGAATAGTCATTTTTATGTGTCAGGGAGGAAGTGATAATCTTAAAAGAATCTGTTCTCTCTTTTTAAATTTAATTTCTGTTCTATATTCCTCTTTTTTTTTTTTACCCACTTTGTTCTTTTCTACTCATAATGCTTTTCCACATCCTGATTTTTTCTGTTTATAATTTACATCCTGCTTATTTATATAAAATGTGAGGTTGCTTACATTATTATAACTCATAAATCAGGAGAGTAAAGAGAGAAAATTAGGGAGAGG